TAGCATTAACCATAGATACTGTGAAAAATCACTTTCTGTAGAAGGTGCCCGATTTCAACAGGCATTTGATGACTGTGTTTGACCTGACAAGCGAGATCTGACCTTGAACTTGTCGTGTAGCGACTCGATGTCGTCCTTGACGCGCTGGATGAGCTGTGTCTGGTACTCGCGGATCGCTCCGCGGATGTGCGGCCGCACGAACAGGGCGTTGAAACGCGAGAAGATGCGGAACATCTCGTTGGCGTTCTTGGCGGTGCCCAGCTGGTCTCGCAGACGGGCCGTGATCCGGGTTTCCACACGGTCAATCCGCTCGTCATACCTGCAGGGCAAGTGGAGGGATGAGCTGTGTGTATGCTGTATTGCTCAGCTGTACTATTTAGTGCTGTATTGTGTGTTCTATGGTGTGTGGAGCACAACAACAGCAGGATTTGCTGCCTAGTGATCCACCGTATGTTGTAATTATTGCACTCTTGATTAAGAAAGTGACATCACCAAAATTTATCACTCTAACCACATGCCTGCTTTTCTGTAATCTGGAAGCCAGTCAGGAAACTTAACAAACACTCTTTGAGCACAAAAAAGGTTACCAATTGTTGGAAAGTTAATCTAAGTATTAACAAGACGAAACAACACATAAAAATTGTAATGACTGTATGTTAATTGTTATACAGGAATTGCACTGCCTGAAGTAGAAGGGACAAGCTTACCTTTTAATGGCGGCCTCCCAGGCCTCCGTCCCTTCCTTCGACACATCCAGTCCGTCCACCTCCTTCACATTCTCATAGGCCAGGTTCACCTCCTGTGTTCATATACATACAGGTGACTTTTTTATTTTCCACATTGATACTTCCTATCAAGACTAGACGTGTAGAAGAAAAATCAAACTTTTCAAATTCTGAATGGTGTAGGTAAAATCTGCCTGGTGTAGGTAATTTTCCATGCAACCTACACCAGGGCAGCTCTGAAACTTCTATATCTATATAGCCGGTATAACCTTACTTCAGCGTAACACACCAGCTTTGCAGGAACGCGGCGCGGCAGCAGCTCTAAACATTGTTTAAAGCTATCTATTGACAATGCCCCAACGTAATTGGTGACAGTGAGTTCCACTCTGCGATAGTTCTAGGAAAGAATGAGTTTTTGAACACCTCGATTCTTGGTTGATAACTCTGGTACTTGAATGCTTGACTATTTCTTGTTCTCTTCTGCGCTGGTTTTAGGTACTTATTAGTTGATACGTCCACCAGTTTATTGACTTATAACCTCTCTCACCTCAATGGCGTTGGCGTCTGCTGCATCCAGCAGGAACTCTGTAGTCTTGACCGGACTGGAGGCCTCTCCCTCGGGGCTGGTCGGAGTTGTAGCCTGGACCGCAGGCCTCAGGACGCGCAGAATCACGCCTCGCAGCTGCTCGTGCTGCCGACGGAACCTGGGGGGAAACAACATCAGCTGAGCACAGATTTCAACTGGACAAACATTAGTGTTGCACATAAGCCTTTACTTGTGGCTTGTACCTGGGTACTGTAACTTGTACTGACATGTGAAATAGAGAAGCAGAAGTTATGTGCATATGTACTGCTGTTCACCAGTTCTTGTCTAATCGTCTATCTAGCCAGGTACCTATCCAGACATCCACCCATACACGAACCCATACACAAACAGACCGACAAAACCAACCCACCCCTACACAAACCCTTCCATACACCCAGCCACTAACCCACCCACATCCACCTACTCACACAAACCCACCCATCCACAAACACACCCACACACCCATCCACCGACCTCCTCATCTGGTCCAGCCTCATGCAGCCTCTTGTGTGCCGGGTTGATTCTCCACACCCTACCCACCCATCACCCAGCCACTAACCCACCCACATCCACCTACTCACACAAACCCACGAACCCACCCACCCACATACATACCCATCCACAAACCCACCCACCCATACATGAACCCACACACACACACCCATACACAAACCCATTTATTTTTATTTATTCGTTCGGCTGTTAAAAAGACAAATTGTACAGCCAGGGCAGCCCAACTAGCCAGGAGGCTATTATTAAGGGCTTGCCCTACAAACCCATCCACACACACACACACACACACACACACACACACACACACCA